ATGGTAACTTTTGCAGCTAACAATATATTTATTACTGCTGCTCTAGAGGGTATATCTCCTATGTTAGGGAGTAAATGTAAGATATATATGGCTGGTAACAGTGGGTATTTTAGGCCTATTTTATGAAGTAATAGTTTTATAGTTATCCAATAAGGTTGAAGCTTCATACATTCCCAAAATATATGTATTAGAGTACCTTTCGCTGCTTTACACCTCCAGCAATTTGGCGTTAAATCAGTATAAATTTTGCTTAATCTATCAGGGGTCATATACCATCTCATCATAATTTTAAAATATGCTTCCCAGTGTGTTACACAATTGGAAGATTGTTTAGTGTGGTGTATGGCCTGTTCCCATTCCAAAACTGGAAACGCCACTCCCAGATCTTCTTCCCATTTTAGCATGTAAGGCATCTTGGCGAACTTCTTGGTATCAAATTTCGCTAAATAGCAATATGTGAGGAATTTTGTATTAGAAAGCGACTTGGGTGTAGAGTGGCATAAACGTCCTAGCTTGCTCAGGGATTCTGGGCCTATATAATGTACTGCTTTAGATTGCAATATGGTGGAAGTTTATAGATTGCTTGGAGTTCCGGAAAAGGTAGTAGACCTTTATCATCGTATAATAAGTGTACGTGGGTAATACCTTGGACTATCCAGTGATGAACTGGGAGGTTCGGAGATGTGAATGAAAGAGCCGTTAATGGTGCTATGAACAATTGTTCATTGTAGGGGCAGATTGATGAGCTCCAGGCGCTCCGTGATTTGAGAAGAAATCTCATGTTAGGTAAGCTGATAGACATTGGGCATGTGGGAGAGATCCATAGCATGTCTGGAAGTGAGTGAATATTTCCGCAGTAGGACTCAAGTTGGAGCCATACCGGTTTGGATTTGCATGTCATAATGTTTAAGCATTGTGCTAATAATGTGGCTCTATAGTAGTTTTTAATATTGGGAACGCTAAGTCCTGCTTTGCTAATGGGACGCCATAGGGACTGGAATGACACCCTTGGAGGTTTTTTCTTCCAAATGTGGGCGTTGATGGCGATTTGGAATCGATTGATGAGAGAGTTGGGGAGTGCAATGGGAAGAGTTCTAAATAAATAAGATATTAAGCAGGATCATCATTTTAATGGAGTTAATCCTATCTAACCAGGATATGTGTGTGTTGAGCCATGAGTCTGTTTGTTTGAGAATCTTGGATAAAACCACTTCATGATTTTCCTTGATAATTTGTGCTCTTGTATGTGTAATTTTGACACCTAAGTAGGAAATAGAGGTTCTACGCCAGTCGAATGAATGTGTGGCTTGTAGGGTTGCTAAGGTTCCTGGGTTTAGTCCTATCGGGAGAATTTGAGTTTTTGTTACATTGTTCCGATAAAATGATATTTTACCATACTCAGCCAGAGTGTCTAGTAAATGAGGGATAGTTTCCGATGGGTTCGTGAGGAAGAGCATTACGTCGTCTGCAAAAAGAGAAAGTTTTTTCTCTCCTGTGGGAGTGTGTATGCCAGGAATTGAGGTGTCTTGTTTTATTGTTCTAATCAACGGTTCTAGACATAATATGAAGATTAAGGGTGACAATGGGCAGCCTCGTCTAGTGCCGTTGGTTATTTGAAAGCTACGTGAAATAAAGCCTGAACTGAATACTTTTGCTGATGGTGATGCATATAGAGCTTTTACACTTGTTATAAAGGAATGGGAAAAATTAAATGCCGCTAAGGTGTTGTTCATATATAACCAATTTAAGCTATCGAAAGCCTTCTCCGAGTCTAAGGCCATTAATACCCCTTTATATCCTTTTTGGTGGGCCCAGTCTAGTAGGTCCATGCAGTAATGCGTATTATCACCTACTTGTCTTCCTGGCATGAACCCTGCTTGTTCTGTGGATACTAAGTCTGGTAGTAGGGATTTTAACCTATTGGCTATTAGTTTTGCGTACAATTTTACGTCCGCATTTAGTAATGATATAGGTCGCAAATTACTACAGATTGTAGGCGGTTTATTCGGTTTGTGCAGTGTTATGATATATGCTTCCAGCATTTCATGTGGGAATTCGCCTGTATTTTTTATTTTGTTAAATAGATTAGTTATGTAAGGAGTGAGGTGAGGTTCCAATTTAATATAATAATAGTTGGATAGTCCATCGGGTCCTGGGGCTGTGTGTTTAGGAAGAGACATAATGGTTTGTTTTACTTCTTCGTCTGTAAATGGCTTAGTTAGAAGGTTGTCCTGATGAGGTGTAATTTGCGGAAGCGCTATACGTGATAGATAGCGTATCACCTCTTCCTGTGTAGGCATAATGGTGTTTTTGTTGTTTGTAAGGTTGTAAAAGTCTTCGTAGTAATTTGCAAGTTCATTCACTATGTCGCTGGGATTATAAAGTTTTGCGTTAGATTTGGAGGTAATGTATGGAATCTTTGTTTGTAGATAGTTAGATTTCAATCTATTGGCAAGCAGTTTACCCGCCTTGTTGCCCATGATCACTGCCTTGTGTGCCAGCCATTGGGTTTCTAGTGAAGTGTCAGTAGATAAATTATTAGTAAAGTAATTGTCCAATTCTAGTACTATTTTCTTTAGGTGTTCAGGACAATCTAGTATAGATTCATTTAACCTCCACTTGCCTCTTCCTCTTGGTGGGAAAGGTACTGCTATTGTGGTTTCTACGGGAGCATGGTCAGACCATGTACGTTGTCCTATTGTTTGATTGATTAAGTGGGGGATTATGGATTTATCTATCAAGCATAAATCTATTCGTGTATAGGTTAGATGCACGGGTGAGAAAAACGTGTAGTCTTTTACAGAGGGATAGAGAGTTCTCCAGGAGTCATATAAATCCTGTGAGTGAATGAGATTGGAAAAAAAGTGTCCCATTTTGAAGGGAGGCTTTGCTAGGGGGTTTGTTATGTGTGCGTTGTAAATCTAAATATGGATCTAGCGTGCAATTGTAGTCCCCTCAGATTATTACATGGCCTTGTTTCATACGGGACACATTTGTGATTGCTTTTTTTCAGGAAGGAATATTGGGATTCGTTTGGAACATAAAGGGATGCCACTGTTATTTGGATTCCATTAAGTTCTCCTACTAAAATCAACAGTCTGCCTGCTTGGTCCGAGTATTGGTTATGTAAGGTAAAGCACCAGTCCGAGTGAAAAAGTATAGCCACTCCTTTAGTTTTGTTAGATGCATAAGTGTGGTATGCTGTGGGGTATTTTTTGGAGCGTAATTGAGGCGGGTTTGCAGCGCTAAAATGAGTCTCTTGTAAACATATTATCGCTGCATTGGATGTATGCATATCTTTGAGCACCTGTCGTTGTTTGTACGGACTGTTAAGGCCCTTAACAGTAAGGGACCAAATTTTCATTGTATTAGGGATCTTATTCTAATTGTGTCAAGGGTATCTTTATGTGATAGTATAAAGAGCTCAATGGGCCTATGAACATATTCTCAACGTGGTTGGATCCGTGAAAATATTGTACACCTATCCATTGACTGTAATGATTGGTGGGCGTCAATAAATTGGGGACCATACAGTTCATGTGGGTTTTTATGGGCTCGGGCAGGGGGGAAGGGAAAGAAGGGGAAGAACAGTAACCAAAGTATTTACATTGTTCTCCTGCATTAGGAAGATACAAATAGGTCATTTAGAGAGCACTAATAAGTGGATTCCAGAGATGACCTAAGTGGGGGTAGTGAACTCCCATTGTACAGCGCTATATAAATAATAAAACAATAATAATAATAACTCCTACCGACCTGGTATTTAAACAAGTTTGTTATCAAGAACTGAATATAATATTACATAACATTTGACAGAAACGAGAACAAAATGAAAGCAGAGGGTTTGTATCCGATTGAGGAATGGAGGAAGACAAGGAGAGAGACAAAGAGAGAGAACAAAGGGTAGACATGGTGAAGCACACATGGCACGGAACATTATAGAGGCATATAACGCGCCGTATTCATCGGTATGGTGTATTATCGAGTGATGTAATCGCTAGATGCATGGCATGTATACAAATTGTATGTAAGCGGCGGGAAGTTGATAAGGTGTCTGCATCGTAGCTTTTGGTTAAAGCTTTCCAATGTTGCTTCAGTAACACAGTAACACACTCTTTTACGTACCTACGTACAGGACACTGTGCTATATACCTCGCTATGCAACAAATTTATTTATACTTTACTGTCTGTTCTTTTAAGCTGTTGAACATTGGAATTAGTTATTAATTGCATATAAGCCATGTCAAAGTTCTATCGCCAATTTATTCACATACCCCAATAGCGACCTATAACACATTCTGATAAGCTTTAGGGTTGGTATCCGCAATGATGGAAGGATGGGATAATATGCCAGCATGTAACCGAGCAATGTACTCTTATAGAGGGCAGGTTTACCAATGAACTATGTATAATATGTAATGCTTTAAAATACAGTTTGTAAGTTTGCATTTTTATTTTTTAATTTTTTTTAATGAGCTAGGTATAACCGTCAGGTTTGACCTGTGGTCAAAAATGTTCAACAGTGCAGGTAAACAGTGCATTAACTATATTATTTTGTGAGTATACCCGTGTCTTCTTCACGCCTTCCATCAGGCTCGATCTTGCTCCGTTCGTTATTTCTTCTTTTGTGCTCCAGCCATTTGCCACTCTGCCGGAATTCTTCTTGGGGAAGTTGCAATTGGATTCGGTTGATGGATGTCAGCATTATTCCAAAGTCCCCAATCCATGAGTATCTTCATTCCATCTCCTGGTTCCGTAATTACTCGTGTTTTGCCTTGGCGCCAGACTATTTGCTTTGTTGGGTATCCCCATTTGTAAGGCACATTATTATTCCACAAGGTTTTCGTGATTGTAATGAATTCCTTGCGTTTAGCCATGGTGGCGGCAGATAAATCCGCGAATAATGCAATATTGTTGTGAGGATCAGGGAGTGCAGGAGATTTTCTTGCTGCCGTTAATAGAGTATCTTTATGTGCGTAGTAATGAAATTTGCCAATTACATCTCTGGGGACCTCATTTGATAGGCGGGCCGGTCGTGGAAGTCTATGCATTCTGTCGTATGCCCACGCAGAGTCAGGAAGATCTGGGACTAGTGACTTACATATAGAAAGAATGTAGGCCGGGAGTGCGTCCTGAGAGACATCGTCGGGTATGCCACGGAATCTGACATTTTGTCTCCTTGATCTGTCCTCCAAGTCAGCTAGTTTCATTTTCAGCATGTCCTTTTCCTCAGATAATTTTTTAAGTTTGTCTACTACTTCATTATGGGCTGCGCATAGCTCTTCTGATTTATTCTCCAAGTGGCTAGTTCTATCACCTATGTTGGTGATCTCTTTGCGGAGGTCTTCATCTATTCGCTGAAAATCCGCTGTTATCGTTGCACGAAGCTCCTGTAGCATTTTATGGAGACTCCGTTCAGTAATCGGGGCATCGGAGTATTTAGAGGAGGCTGATTCTTGGTCAGAAAGACCGTCCGACATTATAGCTGTTTCTTCGTCACCATCTTGGAAATCTTTCTATCTTTTTTCCTCGTTCTCGGAAATTCCATTGTTTTGAGTTGTTTCGATGGTGACATAATTTTCACCTGTGTCAGTGCACCCTGCGGGGTGTAGTATTGTATATTGTTTGCTGTTAAAGTCGCTGATCAGGTCGGGTTTTCAGGAGAGCCCTCAAGCCATGCGACCGTGTTCGCCGGAAGTCAGGCACGCCCCCCCATCTATACAGAAGTTTTAACAAATACGTTGTGCAGACTTACAACATATAAACAACAAAAAAAAATGACATTAAAAGACACAAATACATTCAGGCAAGAAACCGTTTCCCTAAACACAAATATTGTGCCAATGTACAAAACATGAGGATCCTATGCGGATCCAGGATGAGGAGCAGCGTTTTTCCTTTATCATATTATATGAAACAATGAAAGGGAAAAAAAAAAACACACACACACACACACACACAAAATCCCCTTTTCTTTTTTTATTTTTACTTTTTACCAATGTGCGAAAATAAAATATTTTTAGCGTTATAGACTTACAAAAAGGTAAACATTTGTTCATCATTATATTCCAATATATTTCAGTGCTCCATCCTTTTTCTTATGGATATCAATATGTGTATCTGGGGTGGGGCTGAGCTAAGCACCAATAGCAGACAGATTTTTGTGTACACAGCTCCGTGTCAAAATAGCACCAAATCTTGATATATCGCCTGATTTTCAAACAGAATACTCACGAAATACAGTCCGGATATCGACTGGGTGAAAACTAAAGAAGCAGAAACCCGATAAACCCAGAACGGGTATGAATATCAAGGAAATGCTCCGACAAGCACATGGCGTGCTTGGGCCCAAGATGGGGGCAGACTTCTACGAGGACTCTGATTTCTCAGAGGACTTCTCGCTGGGGCTGGACAGCACTACAACAACAACTCCTACCCACCCATATATGGTCCCTTGATGTGTTGACTTGGCACCGGTGACCGAAGCAGCCCTGAGGGGGATGCTCACAGACCTGCAGAAGCCTCTCCAAGCTGATGTGGCCTTGCTCTGGGCGGACCTTACAAGCTGAGAGCCGTGGAGGGTTTTTCTGAGACACACTCACGGAAAATCACTGCCCTTGAACAAGAGGACCAAGTCCTTAAAAAAAAGCAGGCCGTCTTTGAGCAACTCTTCACAAATATTGAAGATAGGAGACGCCGCAAGAACCTTAAGCTTCGAGGTGTACCCAAAGAAATACCTGAGGCAGAAGTCCCACATTTCATGCGGAGGTTAATGGCAGCCCTATTAACACCAAAGCAAACCAAGAATGTTGTTTTTAAAGGCATGTTCTGAATACCCAAACCACGAAAGGCACCAACCGCAGCACCCAGGGACCTGATGTCCAATTTTAAAACATCAAGGATAAAACAGCGTTACGGGGGACTTCCACTTAAAATTTGTAAACCTTGAGTTATCCTTTTAAGCAGATCTGTCTGGCGGCATACTGCAATGGTGGAAAACTATGCAACCTCTTACCAATCTTCTGCGGGAACAAGGTATCGCTGGCACCCTTCCCAGAACCTGCTGGTTCTCCATGCTGACACTTCCAACACTGTCCATGATCTCCCAGGTGCAGCTGCGCTAATTGGAACACTGGGCCTACCACAGGCCTCCCTGCAACAACGAGGCCTGCACGAGACTGCTCGGGCCACACACACATGGAACCCAGCAACGGTAACCGCATTCGTCCCACAGAGGCCCCTCGCAGATGCGTATGCAGCTGCCACAACCTGAGGCCTCCTGACACTCAATTGGGCCTGCAGTTTCATAACCTCCACTACCACCACTTGACAGCAGCGGCAGTTAGGTAAATTGCATAATGCAACAGGCTTACGCACCCCTGGCCTCTCTCTAAAGAGAGACAACTCAAACAGCTCTAGTGTCTAATTGTCCATAATTATTACTTTGCAGCAAGCTATCCCACACACCAATTTTATGTTGCATTACATATGTAGTTTGCCAGCCCCCAAACGTTGACCATACTAAATCTCCCAGAGGTAGGACTGGGCCGACAACACAGGAGTCTAAGGCCGTCGGAGCAGCTGCATGGCTCACCCAGCCACGTGCCAACACCTACTTTCTCCTGACCTGATTTGTAACCTGCAGTTTTGCTTTGTTCGAGCCTGAGTTCTGTATTTTTCAGCTACTCCATGCAATATAGGGCAATATAGGGTATTATAGTAATTTTCTTTTACACAGGTCTACTAGCTATCTAACCTCACGCACAGCTAACAACCACTAGCTTAAAGGAACACTATAGGGTCAGGAACACAAACATGTATTCCTGACCCTATAATGTTAAAACCACCATCTAGCCCCCTGTGTCCCTCATGCCTCCATAAATGTAGCAGAATATTACTTGTATTCAAGCCTGAAGCTCTGCATGCTATTTGCTTCAGAAAAACAAGCTGTCTGCTGACATCATCAGAAGTGGTAGCCTGATCCAATCACAATGCTTCTCCATAGGATGGGTTGAGACTGACAAGAAGGCAGATCAGGGTAGAGCCAGCACAATTCAAACACAGCCCTGGCCAATCAGTATTTGCTCACAGAGATTAATTGAATCAATGAGGAAAGTTCAGTGTCTGCATGCAGAGGGAGGAGACACTGAATGTTTGGATGCATTTTAGGCAGCCATGACCCAGGAAGGATCTCTAACAGCTATCTGAGGAGTGACCAGTGAAGTTATCATTAGGCTGTAATGTAAACACTGCATTTTCTCTGAAAAGACAGTGTTTACAGCAAAAAGCCTGAAGGCAATGATTCTACTCACCAGAATAAATTCAATAAGCTGTAGTTGTTCTGGTGACTATAGTGTCCCTTTAACTGTACTGTGAACACCCCCTGTCTATAGCTAGATCTTTCTTACTGTATCTTGTATGTCACTTGTTATGTTCTTTCGGAAAAAAAAACCTGTGCTGTCACTCATGACATTCTAAGTGCTATTTACTTGTTTGAAACCTGGTCTTGAGCCAAGCCAAATGTCAATGTTACCTTATGTCTGTATATCGGCACAATATAAAAATTAAAGAATGTAAAAAAAAATACATATTTGTATCTGGGAATAGCAAAACAATTCTCAGTGTTACACATTTATAAAAGAAAAAACTATTTGTGTATAATTAAGTATAATATCCCACCCTTTTTTATCCTTCTATTTATATAAACTTGGATATCCAAGGTAACAAATATTTCTTAGTATTACAGTTTAAGAGGAAAAAAAATATTTCATATACAATTAGATTCCACTATGCATTATTTCAACTGAGTGAGAGAGAAAAAACCAAACCAAAAACATATACATTTTTATATACAATCACCTTTTCTTTTTTCACTTCTCGTTTAAATCAAAGTGTATCCAAATTAACAAAACAATTGTTAGTGTTACATACTTAGAAAAAGGCAAACATTTGTACATATACTTTCCCATTTTTTTTATCCTTCTATTTATATCAACCTGTGTATCCAAGATGACAAATATTTCTTAGTATTACAATTTAAAAAGGAAAAAAAAAATCATATATAATTCCCTTTTCTTTCTTTATTTTGATTTATATATATATATATATATTTGTGTAAGGGGCAAAATAGCCGTATATGGAGTAAGGATCCAGCATAAGCTTAGGATAGTGTAAAGGGAGCAAGTCGGTTGTGGTGTGCCGATACCGACGATACGGTAGGCCTGTAAATAAAGAGGGCCCACCAAGGAGTAAGAAAGTAAAGTAAATGGAAAGAAAAGAGAAAGTTTGAAATGAGGAGTGGGTGGGAGGGTCATTCTGATGCTGACCTCAAGCGATATGAGTCAGGTAAGGGGTGTCCCTTATATAGGGGAGTGAATTAATTTAAGCCCCTCCCACAAATACAGGCAAATCTGCCTTAATACTTGTGTAAGGGGCAAAATAGCCGTATATGGAGTAAGGATCCAGCATAAGCTTAGGATAGTGTAAAGGGAGCAAGTCGGTTGTGGTGTGCCGATACCGACGATACGGTAGGCCTGTAAATAAAGAGGGCAAAAATGAATAATCAAAGATTTAATACAGTCAACAAATATATACAAATTAACCAGACATTTCCTTAAATGCATTACAGTATTTAATTCCTGAAAGGATTTTGAAGGTAGGAATCTAGGACCGAAAGTGGGCACCATTTGTTGTGGGTAGGATAGTATGTTATCTCTACTGTTGGTGCATGTTGACTCATTTCGGAATGTGGTAGAGCCAATAGGTAATGATATATGTGTTTATGTATGTGGGATCGTTGAAGACAATGATCTGTCTGAGTGGTGGTGATGGTAGTGGATTCTCTGGCCTGAGAAAGGCATAAAAGGCAATGTGCATGGCTGGTAATGGCCGACTTGGTAGTATAATTGAATGGTTGTAGATCTAATAGGTCCGATAAGGATGAACAGTTGGATGGCTATTGGTAATCTCTGAGAGGAACGTGGGGGCATGGATTCCTGAAAACCTCTGAGTATATTCTTTCTGGTATGATAGCATGAAGTTTATGGTAGTTTTGGCCATAGGTTATCATGTGTTGTTGAATGCCTGTAAAATATATAATTAATGGTGTATGAGATAGTTTAAGTTTAAGGTGGCAAAAATAAGCAAAACTTAGGAGAAATTTTGTGACACAGGTTGAGCTATGTCGTGTTCCAATGAGATTCTTTAAGCCAGGTGAAAAGCTGTGTTATGCGTTCTACAAGTATGGGACGAAAGTGCTAGGTGGGATAGTGCATGCTATGCTGCATGAGTATGTCTAATCCATGATTTTGTCTCTGGAACGAAAGAGTGGACGTGACTGTATGGGCGGCTGTAGGAAGCGTATGATGAACATGCCTGGAATATAAATGAGACAGTTGTCGGCAGGGATGTATACCCCCGTCTGGTACATGAAAGTGAAATGTGATAAGTGGCCAACCAAGTGAGTTCCCCAGAAACATCA